ATCGAAAATCCATCCAAACGGCCCGTAGCTAGCCCTCGAAGAAAATCAAAATCCCACAGTATTCGAGCGACTGGAATGCGTAGCAAGATTCATGCGTGCCAGCCACAAACCGTCCTGCTGATTGCCTTTTTTTTATTGGATGTCGTTAAACAGATGGTTAAATAATAACTGATGAAGAAGACTTGGTAAGCGTTTGTTGTTTAACGACATCCAATCAAAAAGAGGCAATCAGCGGGACGGTTTCTGGCTGGCACGCATGAATCTTGCTACGCATTCCAGTCGCTCGAATACTGTGGGATTTTGATTTTCTTCGAGGGCTAGCTCCGGGCCGTTTGGATGGATTTTCGATTGGAAGGTACGAGAAGAATCGTGAATCTTTTGACCTTAATGCTGCGAAGTTTGAAAGCGGAGCGATGCGATTTTGGGGGGAAAAATTGCTCCGGGGCAGGAACCCTTTCAAAACAAGGATTCCTCCCTTGTCCTTCTATTATAATTATGGAACAGTCAACAGCGAACTCAAATTCATTCCAAATCGCTCAAAAAACCGCTTTTGAGGCAAAAGGACGACTATACACCACAGGCAAGGTAATTCAACGTTTATTTATCATTGATTTATATACATAGTTAGCGATATATCGCTATAGGTGAAGCAAACGGTAAATCCAGTACATTTACTATAAAATAACAATCGGCTACACAAACAGATTGTGTGGGCGCCCTGTGCTTGGACTAAAACGAAGACCCTATGGACTAAAACGAAGACCTCATGGACTAAAACGACTGATGCTAACCGCTGAGGGCAATGCCCGCTCCCGTAATTTGTTACGGCGGTTTGGGAATGTTGTGGAATTTCCTCTGCAGTATTTAGTTGTGATAGTCAAGTCTATCACTTACCTTTCCTTCAGGTTTCTTTGCGGAAAATATTTTGCATGTTTTAAACCTCTTTTTGCAGAACTAAGGCGAGAGAGCCCTCGCGGCCAAGTGGTAATACCGTCACGTTGGAACAAAGGTCCCAGGTTTGAGTCTCGTCGATTATGCGTTTTTTTCCTTGTCTTTTTCCTTCTTTTTCTTTTATTATTATTATTTTTTTTATCACAGTTATCATAAAAACAACTGTTTAAGCCGTAAAGATTAGTCATTTTTTAACAATAGAGGACAGAATATCGTAACAGTGTATAAAACAAATAAAACCCGGCATAAAGACAAATGAACCTCGCTTAAATGAAACTTGAAATGTTAACCTGTATTCGAGTAATGTTCTAGGTCGAAGGCTTTTTTTCCCCTATTGATGAGGTAAAAAGTAATAAATAGAGCGCGAGGTTCCTCTGCCTTGAATTCGTCAATATGAGAAATTCCCTCCCTGCACTACGTGTTGTCACTGTTTTGATGCATTGATACAATTCTTAGAAAGCTGGAGCACGCGGTTATATTTTCTTAACTCATTACACCCGGGATGACACCCAAATCATCCGACATTGAATTTTGAACCATAAAATATTAGAAAGGAAACGGACCCCCTCCTCCCTCAAACCCCAACTACGCGCCCAAAACACGTTTGGCGCAAGTCTTCAAGACAAATCCTGTCATCAGCCTTTTTGATTGTCAGACCTCCCATGAACACGCTGATGACCTTTGGGCTTGTCACGCCAATCCTCTTCACCGAGGACGCATAAAATTTAAACCACACGACACACTGGAGGGCTCTCTCGCCTTCACCCTGCAAAAAGCTTTGATTTAGATAAAACTGACGTCATCTTCACCGTAAACACTTCCTAAGAGGTTTAAAACATGCAAAATATTTTCCGCAAAGAAACCTGAAGGAAAGGTAAGTGATAGACTTGACTGTCACAACTAAATACTACAGAGGGAATTCCACAACATTCCCAAATCGCCGTAACAAATTACGGGAGCGGGCATTGCCCTCAGCGATAAGCGTCAGTCGTTTTAGTCCATGGGGTCTTCGTTTTAGTCCAAGGGGTCTTCGTTTTAGTCCATGGGGTCTTCGTTTTAGTCCAAGGGGTCTTCGTTTTAGTCTATGGGGTCTTCGTTTTAGTCCAAGGGGTCTTCGTTTTAGTCCATAGGGTCTTCGTTTTAGTCCAAGGGGTCTTAGGTCTTAGGTCTTCGTTTTTGGTCTTCGTTTTAGTAACACCCCTTGAAAACTAGAGTTTAGTCCTTTCCGATTCTTGTGTACTGTACAAAACATAACTTCCTCAGGCCTCTAGCGATTATTTTTCGTGATTAATTTACAGTCGTAACTTACTGTGTACCGGTTAATAGATTTATCGTAAGCCAAGTACAAATAACTATTCAAATTTGGGTAGAAAAGAAAATTGTTTTCTGCGATGTGCTTTGCACCTGAAAGGACCTTGGAGCTTGCCAAGCGGAAAATTACTTGAATTGCACGTGCTGTGATGTTACTTCATTCTCGTAATTTTACGACAGTAGAATTCTACGTTTATGTAATCCCTTTCACTTTCATGTGATATTATCATACACAAGAATTCAATCTCTGTCTGTGCGGCATTGCGTGACAGAAAGAGGGGCTCCCCGAGAATGGCTAACAACGGCATGAACAAAGACTGCCTCCTGTGTGTAGGTGTGTAGGGCTTCTTCACGCGATTGTATTTGTGGCACCCCCGATCCGAATAGGGTTGGAACACATTTTGAGTGTTTCAAGGACTAAACGAATATAAACACACGAAACACGCGAACTCGAAAGTTCAAAAGCCGCCTTCACAATTGCGTTTTTTGCTACCGTCAATCAAACTACCATCACAAGAAACGACCCTTAAAACACAGAGAGACACAAAACGGATCGAAATCCACCAATCACAGATGAGAAACGATGACCTTTTGAACCTCTTTAAGTAACGTTCTGTGTTCCTAAGCTTGAAGAGCGGAGTAAAGTGAGGTCATAAGCAGGGCAGATAAAGGTTGGGCGGTGAAACGAGCGCGTCCGAGCAAAAAGGTGTGATGCAGTGGACTGGGACTCTGCTTAGAAATGCCGCTTGTTTTCGACTTCGGTCAGGGCTTGCGATATGGTTTGTACATTAGACACTGCCGCCATCACTGAATTATGGCGGCTTGATTTGTTTTCTTGCACTTCTTCCTCGTTCCTTTGTGCTGGTACGCTGTCTCCGAAAGGCAAATGTAGCCTTTTTTTGCGGGAGGTTTAGTTGGAGTAGACAAGTCTCTTTCAAAGGGTTTCTTTTATTACTTTCATGACTTTACCACTGAATTATATTTTGGTTCTACTACTCGCCAATGTCGATGTTATTCCAAAACAAAAACAACTAAGTACTGCCTAAAACACGACGGAAAATCTCATCCATGTCATCCATGGCAAAACTAAAAGACAGCAGATCGTGTTTCATAACTAGATGACGTGTATTTTATAAATGCGTGCAGCTCGTGCAAGGTGAAATTATGCTAATTTCAATCACCATCATCCTTCTTTTTAATTTTGAAAAAAAACCTCTCATACGTCTTTCTGTTTCTTCGAAACTTCAAAATTAGTTTCCCCTCAGTTTTTACTGTTTACCTTGTTTTGTTTTAGAGAGAAAAACGGAGAAAAAACCTTACAACTAACCTCAATAAATTTTGTTTACATGCGGTTGCCGGATTTGCAACGCACTGCGCGAATCGCCATGGCGCGTTGCACCCGAGAAGCAAAGTTTGAAGAAGTACAACGCCACTATATCAATATATATCAATCTAATTTTTTGTTATGTTATATAAAATTTATCCCCCTTTAACATATGTAAAAACTGAGGTTAAGAAGTGTTAAGCTTTTGCAAACGAAACAGCGAAAGACGATTAGGTGATATTTAGTGAAAGGGGGAGGTATCCAACACTTTCAAATTAAACTCAAATTTTGGCATTATATGACCAACTAGTTTGACTTTTAGACGCACAGATACAAACATATGAAACTGTTTATTGATATTGTTATGAAACGAATTTATCTATTTAACATTGTAGCCTGAAATTACAGAAAGAAAATAGGATTTCCGGTTTGCAAAAAGAAAAATTTCGCCGGCCTTCAAGCGCACCGGAAGCGCGGAAAGAGCGCTCGTGCCAGTCCTACACCGCATCACACATTGAATGAAAACCCCAAAAAATCCCTGGATCAAAATTTAACCCCCCAAAAATCCCATGCCAAATTTACGAGCCATAAAAATTTCCAGAGGAACTATGCGGCCGGGATACGCGAGAACTATCACAAATCTTCAGATAGTTTTGAATACCCAAAAAATCCTTACTTAAATCAAGCTACCCAATTCAAAAACTACTTGCCAAACTTTTTCTTCCCAAAAAATTCCGAAATCGAAAATTTCAAACCGCCCGAAAAATCCTTCGATCATCCCTATCACTTGAAATCCACAGTATCGCTTACGGGAAGTTCGTCGACTGTATATTTTTTACCCAATGAACAAAAAATATAATAACACAACATTTGTTCAACCGGCGATCAGGCCTTTTTTTTCGGGGAAGCGCGAAATTGGGCGGACAGGTAAAGGGGAAAAAAGAGGAGCTTTTTCCTCTCGCCTCGGAAAGAAAAAAGGAAGAAGGACCTCCTAATCGCAGGTTAAATATTTTTTAAGAAACAGTTCAACCTCGATAAGTCTAAAATTACAGAACAATCCAAGATAGCGACCGTTATAAATGACGTCACAGGTTTTCAGCTGTGCCATATCCTTATCAGCATGTAATAACAGTTTTTAATTGACTCAAATCCCTCATCTAATTCTTCATAACCAGGTAGCGTTGACCAAGACATTCATGATATCGTTCGCAATATCTAGTAAGTTGACGTCAATAGTGCAGGATATCTATAGAAAAGGGACGCAAATGCGAGGAAAATGACAAGAGAATTACATTAACTAGCTTTTACATACGCTCCGGATTTGCTTAAACGTCCGTGGTTGAAGTTGGTAAAATAAGTAGTGGACCGCCCGCAGAACATTAACCAATTCATTTTAGAAGTGTTTGTTACATGCTCATTTTTTTAAAACTTTGTACACGAAGCCAAAGGCGTCACTCGGCAAATCTTTACTTTCGAAGTAAGATATTTTCTTGCTGCTGAGTTTTTCCCATATTCCAGCTTCCTCTAGCTCCGTCATCTTCGGTTGGTAGTCATCTACTTCATTATACCGAAGCGAAAAGCAGACAAGTCCACCTATAAACGATAAAATTGAAAACCAGTTAAAAAAAACAACTTGTAGGAAGAATGCTGGCATATTTGATTTACCCCTTAAACCACCAATTTAAGAGTGACCCAAAAATCAATAGTTTGCCCAATAAAACATGAAGGTTTTTAGAAAAAGAGAAATGATCGACAAGTGAAAAAGGTCTTGATTGTTGAACAAATTCTCTTCTCCAGCAATAAAGGAAATGTATGGAAAACAGTTTAGAGAAAATAGATGCTGGTGGCAACAAAAACGCGCAATTTGTTTGCAACATAGCTGCTAAAAGAGTTCAATGGTGATCTTGTGCATTTTACCACCTGCAAAGGAAATCTGCCTGGCAACAAACCATATTGTTGCAAGTTGCGAAAAGTTGTTGGAGAAAGTAGCTACCCAACAAAATCTGTACACGTTTCTCGTTTTACCAGCCCAAGGAAGACTTGTTTTGCAGCAAGTCGGTGATGCAACTTCCGGGTAACACGAGACTCCCGCATAATTTTATCTAATCAAAAGGCAGTATTCACGCAACTTGCAGCTGTATTTTTTGTAGAGGGAATTGAAAGTGGGTAGTACAACACGCAACATCACTTTCCAACTCGTTGTGCAACATTGATTCCAAACAAATTGCAAAACAAAACAAACTGCCTATTTTACCGCAACTTAAACCAGTCTTACCGGTTTTCACCATCCTGATGATCTCCACAAAAGCCGCTGGACGAACATGAGCCTTTACCAGGACACCAGCGGAAATCAAGGCATCAAACTCTCCTGTTTCAAACTCCTCAATACTCTGCTCTGTGAGTGGGGTGCAGACAAACCTCTTGTACGGAACGCCTTTCTCTTTAGCAATATTCAGCATTTCTTGTGAGATATCTAGGGCCTGGATATCAGTATAGCCAAGCTTGTGTAGCTCGATCCCTGTCATCCCCGTTCCAGCTCCAGCATCGAGAATTTTCAGTTGATCTTTTAGAGTGTTGGGAAAAGCTTCCTTCAAGGCAGCATCCAGGCATTCAGCGAGCGGTTTGCGGTAGCACGAGCCTGCTTTGGCAGTTTCCTTAAAGGGACATGCAATTAAAAATTAGAAATACGAATTTAAAGTCGTCAATGTTGTTGAGTCCAATTTTCGTTTTGCAACATGTATCCCTAGGTAAGTTTAAACAAGAGAGGATAAAGCTCAGAAAACGAATCCACATATAGATCTAAAAACATCTTTAGAGGGATTACGACGGGTATAAGGCCTGTATGGGGGGATTCGTTCTCTGAGCTTTATCCTCTCTTGGTTTAAACAAGACGCTGTTATTGCGTATTACTAATTTTCACTGTCATGCCTTGAAACCATGATAAATCAAGACCGTTCGATAAATTACGTCCATAATCAGAGAAATGAAAGGAAATAAATATGCAAAGACCCTCGCCAAGATTCAGGTCAGTGCAATTTTACGTATTTGGGATATTTGGAGAAATGTTTTCCCAAATTTATAGGGCTTTTGTATGGAGACGCCACGTTGCTACCCATTCGGATGGGCACCAACATGGCAGCCCAAAACCAACAGAAACATCTGTCTATGAGTTCTACCTCGACAGTGTGAATCATTCAGGTAAGAGATAAGTTAGTCTCTCCAGGATCTTATAGACATTTAAGTAATACTTCTTCTAATAAAAGAACTGTTCAGACAGCAAAATTCCCCAAAATGAGGCACTTTTTAAACCTACATGACAGATCGCTTGGTCACTATGTAAATGCTGCGTCATGCGAAAGCTTAGAAATTCAAGCGCAGTCATTTTGTTACCTTGGCGTCCCATTCTACGTCCCTGACAGAAAAAAATTCATGGCAAGGGTCCCGTAGGAAAAGATTGACCGATCGATCTGGAGATGTTTTCGTAGAATATCCTATTCGTACGATTTCTGAGGCTGTTATTATGGCTATTGTTTAACGGCGCATATATTTTATTTTTTTTTTTGATTTGTACTAGTACCTGAAGAAGTGACTGAGATACTTATGTGTGTAAAAGTGAGTAGGTTGTCCCAAGAGTTTTTATCGTGGTTGTAGCTTAAGGAGATTATTGATACCTTATCATAATCGGCTGCCCACTTATCATAAAGATTGCGAACTTCTTCATCTGAAGAGTTTTTGGTGATGTTGTCGAATCTGTCGCCAAAATATTTCTTGTACGACGCTTCGTAAGTTGAGGTGGCCATTCTGAAAGACTGAAAAGACAAAAGGACTAATTATGGATGGTTCCCTGAAATCAGGTTGCAAAATAGCTATTGTGAAATTGCTTAAGACACAAGCTGTTTTGAAATGAGCTTAATTTCTAGAATGAAATCACACATTGTAATTTCTCATAAAAGCAAACATTGCCATATGTTAGGTTGTTTAAACCTCGTCCTTGCACATCCCAAGTTATCCTCCTCCGGCTTATAAATACAGAGACAACTTTCACGAAACAAAGGCTGTTGTTTTCAAAAGCACTGGTTTCGAAATTCAGTGGAAACCCCTTGGGTGAAGTCGGCGAAGTTAGTTAACCCTTTAAGCCCCAATATCCACATACAAATTCTTCAAACTGATCTCTATACATTTCCTTAAAGAATGAGTTGAGAGAATTTGATAAAAGATCAAAGTATTTTCTCTTAGGTGATTATTTAATTAATTCTCATAACCTCAGCTCATGATAACAGTGTATGGGTATCGTTAGGACAAAATTGTTGTTGGTCACTATTGGGACTTGAAGGGTTGAAATCAGCAAGAAAAGTGGGTAAGTTGACTTTGTTCATAGCCTGTTACAGGCGTTCAGCTGAGAGATAAATCGACTACATTGTCTTTCTTTCGTCTCGTTAATTATTCAAACTGCTCACCACAGCACCGTTACCTCAATGATCCTTCTATACCACAGTACCACATGTTTGGGTTAAGAGTCGAGCCCTTTTGGCCTAGAAAACTGAGTTCACACACATAGTCTCCATGGTAGATGCGATTTGCGTGGAAATCATTCTTAAGACCGTTTCAACACTACGGATTTTAGAAGAGAGCTATAGCGTTAATTTCACGTTCATTCGTCTGTGAAACGCCGAAAAAAAACGCAAGAGAAATTTCATGAATCGAAAATCTAGATCTAGCCGGGGTCTCAAGGGGTCTTGTTTTAAATTCATATTTCATCTTTGCAAATCTTGTGGATTGAGTTTTTTGCATTGGAAGAATGTCTGTGGTACTGCTTACAGACAGCGCATTCAAGCTGATAAGTTCCTTCTTATTTCTTTGAGCTCCACTGAGTCGTTGCAATCAACAGTGAATCATACCATCATACTATAGAATAAATGTCATGAATCATCTATGTGATCGTGTATAATGTCGGCATTGTCGCTCTTGAGGAAAGTTTTCATCTTTGCCGGCTGAAAACAACGAAAATTCGAAACCGCAACGGGAAAAGAAAATTGTTAGTCTAACCGTGGAGGGTCGCATTTGTGGGAGTTTAAAATTTTCTTTGGTTTGACGATGCGGGGCGGTGGGGGAGAGAGAGAGAGAAGTAGAGGGAAAGAAGAGGGCCGGACGCGCTCTCTCATCCCCCTTCCTCTTCAGAGCCAATGTCTGTAATTTTCGAGAATCGGTTGACAGTCGTGAATTTTTGAATTTCTTCATATTTTGCTCAAATAATCTCTATAGTACACTAATTTCAAAAATCACCTTAAAACTTGTAACAGCTTTTTATTTTTTTCAGGAATCAGGTAAAGTTTGAAAAACTCTAAATCGGCGCTCTTTCGAGTATGAAATTTGCGAAAATTGAGCATTTTCCTCCTCGCTCGTACATAAAAACGGAATAATATCTCCAGATGAAATCAAGTCACAAAACAGACACACATTTGTACTTTATAATTCAGCAATTAACTTTAAATGAACCGTTTAAATGAGACTGTACCGGCCGCAAGAAGAAACACGGTTTCAGCACTTTTCAAAAATGGCAAATTTGACCTAACTTCACCATCGTAAAAACCCACTTGGTACATGCAATTTCAGTATGAAACATAAACTGTATTAAAGCATATCCTTTGCTGTTGTTTGTGTTAAAATATTTCTGGCGGCATTCCAAATGCGCACCGTCGAGAGACCAAAACCTGAAGGGTATTTTTTGACACCAGGAAAGCGCGTGCAACAAGCAAGTTTCGACGCTTGGAATATTACCGGGGAACTTGGGTATTTTTTTGGTGCGTATGTGCCGCCCGGGACTCGGAATTGGCACCCGTTCTTAAAAAAAATTTCTCCTAAAATTGATACCCCTTTCTAGAAATGGGCCAATTTTTTATACCCCGTTCTAGAATTTGCCCTAAAACTGATACCCCGTTCTAGGAATGGGCCAATTTTTTTATACTCCGTTCTAGGGTGCAACAAGAGTACAACAGTCTGCTTGTTATAACGCACTGAACCGTATTTTTAAAAGCAATCTGTCCTTGAATAATTTCAAATGGCTGCTTACAAAACTGGTGCTTTCGTGCGTTCGAAATATTATACCCCGTTCTAGAAAACGCCTGTGAAATGGATACCCCGTTCTAAATCAGGAGCTTCAAAATCACGACCCCGTTGGGCGGCACATACCCGTATAGGTAAAGTATGGGAGTACCCCCCCCCCGGGGAATATTAATCCTTTGCAAACATAAGTTACTTCGACATTTAAACCCTAGTCAGAGTTGTAACGGTTTCAGATTATATTTCGGCGTTTCTGTTCGGTTTAACATGATTCCTTTCAACTGATTTTTGCGATAAACCATAATGAAGAGACACGAATACGCAGTTCAAATCAAAGTTCGTAGAGAGGAATATTGTCAAAATACTCGCTTGTTATAGTTTCAACCTTATTGAAACCTTAAAATCAGAAAAGTTTTTTACTTACCTGAACTTAAATGCTAGACGGGGTCACAGTACCGCTAACTAAATTGATCTAAATTCTGCATCAAGGCAGATTCAAAGTTAAGTTTGTGTATGTTTTCAATCTGTCAACACCAGGGAAGATAACATTCCGGAAGTGCGTGACGCGTAACGCGCCGGAAAAGAAATTGCTGGTATACGTGTTTTACGGTGCAAGTCTTTGTTGTATTCGTATAGCATCTCGCACATATTCAAACTTGGTTTGTGGCGCCTGTGGCCCCAGTAATGCTGAATGTATTGGGATCATAGAAAAGATGTCGTGAGTCACTTGGTATGCTCCTGACTTGTTAGTCACGTGAGTATGTTAATGATAGAAGTAAGGTTTTCTGCATTTACGTTAGGTGACCTTTGTTTGATCCACGAAATTGGCGCATGAACATAGGAGTTTTTCCTCACCACCGCTAAATGTTTGGTTCTGGGTGGCGGTGCAACAAATCACGTGGTACCGTTCTAGATGAGGCTACTGGCTGCTCATAGAGGGGTCCATAAAGGCACATTGATTGATGACTCTGTATGGACTGAAGGAAATGATTTACGCAGACGTTTTCTGAGTGACAAAGGTGCAGCTTTTACACTCCTTTTTCGTTTCGAAAATAGACGAGCACGCAAGCGAAGCGAGCGCGCGAGAGAGATCTCCTTGCGCTGATAGTCAATAAATCCAATGCGGTTTTTATTTTCATACGCGAAAATCGACGATCAAAGAGAAAATAGATCGACGATCTCTAAAGAAAAAGTAGGGGGTCTGTGAACAGGCTACGAAAGTGCTTGCTATTATTTTAGTGAACTTTACAAGAGGTCTCAGGTGACTATGTTAACGTCATGAAAAGTCTACTTAGCTTGTTTAAGTTTAGCTAGGGCAAGAGGAGGAGATGGGTGGGTTGGTACACATACAAAAAAATTCAAGTCTTTATCACTCCACTTAGAGCTAGCAGACTTTGTTTGATCCACAAAATTGGCGCATGAAAATAGAAGTTTTTACTCACCACCGCTAAATGTTTGGTTTCGTGTGGCGGAGCACAAATCACGTTATACCGTTCCAGAACCGCCTACTGTCTGCTCCTTTAAAAGGGGTCCGTAAGGGCACATTAATTAATGACTCTGCGCGGCCTGAAGAAAATGATATACGCAGACGTTTTCTGAGCGACGAAGGTGCAGTCTTTACACTTCTTTTCTTTTCGAAAATGGCCACGGACTTCTCCTCTCGCCCTTCGCTGCTGGGCAGTCGTTTTTGCCTGAGGGATACCACCTCGAAGGAGTTTTAGCACACAGGTCTCTGCTGGTGCAGACCTAGCGAAAAGGGCATTCTCCATCTGAAATTTTAAGTCGATATGAAAGGCTATTTTCTGATTTGGTTAAAGATGATAAGTAAAATGGCTGAGACATTTTAAAGCATTTTTTTCATTTAGGCGACGGATTTTGACGTTATGAAAAAGAACTTGTCAGTGAATTGGTTTATTTTCTAGCCTGCGAACAAGTGCCGGGGGGTGGTGGCGGAGAGAGCCAGGTGACTATTCCTTTTTTTAGACGGGAGCTAGCATGTACGTCCATTCTGGTCTAACGCCATAATGAGTAGACTGGCCTTTAAGGGGCGGGAGATCAGATCGTCAACAGCAGGTTGAGGTCTAGCCAGAAGATACCCTTGCTGCAGAGGAGCAAAGCAATACTACTTTCAGTAATTTAAACATGTTAAATACTTGTATTTCGCTCATTAAATGTGTCCATTGTCCATTGTCGATTTGTGGTTTTTCGGAATGTTCTTTTGCGGAGCATTGGACAATTTTTTCTTAAACCAGTTTTTTACTTGTTTCCATTTCCCTGCTCTACCTTCATGCTGCATATGGCGTACGTGTGTACCTAAATCCCTCAATTCATACTGAGGTGATCGATAGAGAAGGCTATACGCCAAGCGGGGTTAAGATTTGGTAATAAAAACCAAAGGCTCAGAAGGCTAAGTGCAATGAAAAGAAAACTAGTGTGAAACGTTTTGCAGACTCGGCTTGCTCTATTTGTTTTCTTTCTCTGTTTAAGTTTCGGCTTGTGCATCCTAAAATCAACTTTGGTTCGACCTGTTTTGGGGAATATAAAATATAAAAACACTCGTGCGATGATTTATCCTTGTCTGTACAGTTGCGTGACAAGACTCAAATCAAACACGGGCTTTCATCACGCAACACAGGGTTTAGTCCGTGGCTAAACGACGGAAGATTTCAGTAAACTGCGGCCACTTGCAGTTGAAATGACTGGTAAGTAAATTCTTACAGATCTCGTATCTCATTTAGAGCTAGCAAGCCGTTTCTAGCGGCTTTATTTTAGGTGCAGAAACTCGAGGTCAATATTTACACTCAACACGAAATTAGCAGCCAGAGCAGCGCTGTCCTTTTCAGCTACTTGCGTGCAATCAAATGCACGGTTAATCTACTTAGTTCTTTTTTATTACTATCAAATTGAAAAGTGTTTTTCAAAAGATTTTAAGAACTTCCCGTAATGTGCCCCTTGTAAAAGAAGTTAAGTTTGCGAAAACGTTTGTGTGCTTACACTTCCGGCTAGTTTGTTGCAGCGTTCCAACGTGCGAAACTATCCTGCACGTTTCGGTGTCTCAGCGACGCACTTTTGTAATGCCGCCAAAACTTTTTTAACACAAGAAACGGCAAAAAATGTACTTTAAAATAGTGTTTGTTACATGTTGAAATTCTATGTACCAATTGGGTTTTTTCGATGGTGAAGTTAGGTCAAATTTGCCATTTTTGTAAAGAGCTGAAATCGTGTTTCTTCTTGCGGCCGACACAGTCACATTTAAACAGCTTACCTGAAGATAACTGCTGAATTATAAAGTACAAGACTGTGTTTGCTTTGTGACTTGATTTCATTGAGAGATATCATCCTGTTTATATGTACGAGCGCCAAGAAAATGCTTAATTTTCGCTAATTTCATACTCGAAAGAGCGCCGATTTAGCGTTTTTCAAACTTTGCCCGATTCAGGAAAAAATAAAAAGCCGTTACAAGTTTTAATGTGATTTTTGAAATAAGTGTACTATAGAGATTACTTGGGAAAAATATGAAGAAATTCAAAAATTCACGACTGTCAACCGATTCTCGAAAATTACAGACATTGGCTCTTAAGGCCCTTTCACCCCGATGTTTTTTTCTTGCTCACCTCTGTTTGTATGTGCTACCCTAGCCTGCGTAGCTGGCGGGATTAGCGTGGACTGCTGTATTGTTTTTTGGCGGCGGAGCCGCGAGAAGGGTGGGTATACAAGTCCCTCCCTCGCGGCTTCGCAAAAAAGTTTCCCGGGCACAAGAATCCCGCCAACTACGCAGGCAAGTGCTACCCCCACTACCCGAACGTGCACCTGAAACTGCCTGTCATAAAGCTCGTATTCTTTGTTGACTACTGGGGGAAGCCAAACACGTATGCTCTTTTCTTTGCTGGCCACCTAAAGCTCTTTTTCGTTATAGACCACTGGGGAAACTAATCACAATAAACTTAGTCCATATTTCTCCTTTCAGAATGGCCACCTCAGCTTACGAAGCCTCCTACAAAAAGTACTTTGGAGATAGATTTGATAAAATCACCAAAAACTCTTCAGATGAAGAAGTTCGCAATCTTTATGATAAGTGGGCAGCCGATTATGACAAGGTATCAATAATAATAGCTTGATAAATCAGGTTGGCTTGTTTTCTAGGGCGTCAAACGAGAGCCTAGTCTCCCTCGCAGCCGTTTTTTTTGGATGTCACGCAACGCTCCCATCCAATAAACGGCTGCGAGGGAGACTAACGAGAGCCTTGCACGTCCGTGTTTATGCAACTTCCTTGAAGCATTCCCTTTAACAATAATTCAAGTTATCTATATAGAGTGTACTTTAATGTCACAACCAATCTCTTTCTAGATTTCCAATAAGATTCGTCTATATTCACCTTCCCCCTACATGTAGGCGGAAAACGACGAAAAAAAAAAAAACATACCCCTCGTATTGTGCCCTCTCTGGCATGGTTGTCGTGCCGGAACAAAAGCAAGAGATTATTCGCTCTTGGTAAAAGCTATCAGTTATAGCGTGAAGATTACCTTAGAGAACACAAACTTGAATGTTCATTTAACTAATGATGGAAGTTTTCTTCTTTTAATGGTATGCCCGTGCAGGAAAATGCTGCCGCTGGCGGGTGCTTCAATAGGCCAGTCGCTGAATGCTTGGACTCCGCCGTACATCAAGTCTTTCCCAGCGCACCGAAAAATCAGCTGAAAATCCTCGATGCTGGAGCTGGGACAGGGCTGACAGGGTTCGAACTTCATAAACTCGGCTACACTAATATTGACGCTCTAGATATCTCGCAAGAGATGCTGAAGGTAGCTAAGGAGAAAGGCGTGTACAGGAGATATGTCTGCTGTTCTCTGACGGAAAAGAAGATTGATGAGTTTGAAACAGGCGAATTTGATGCTCTGATTGCCACTGGTGTCCTAGTGAAAGCTCATGTTCGTCCAGCGGCTTTTGTAGAAATGATTAGGATGGTGAAGGCAGGTGAGTCTTGATCCAGAACCACCCACCGTAAACAGTTGTCCCTTGCCAACGGAAGAAATCAATACCGCAGATTGTTTTCGATTGGTTTTGTCTATGTCTTAGTCTGAATATTTGTACCCTAGCAGAATCGACAGAAAGAGAGTGAATAGAGAGGTTAACCATCGCGTTTACGTCAAACGGCAAACGCGAATTGACATCATGTGACCAATTTCCCCTTTACTTGTCGTTTACTTTTCATTATTTCTAGAAATAAATTAGTAGTTTCACGTAATTTTTTATCCATAAGAATGGTCTTAAACTGTCTTTATCTGCTCATTTTAATTCTAAAATTCTCAATTTTAATCTGACTTTTGCCGTTTGCCGTATCCCCGTGAAGCTTAAACTCTCTATTGTCGACAAGCGCCGGAACGCTAGCTACCTACCTAATTCTCCTTACGTGATTGTAGTTCAGCGAGTAGAAAATATTCTATCAGACATTTACACCTTTTAATCCGTTTTAGAGGCTACTAACAAAAAGGTTAACTTTTTGACAAACTCTCATCTCAGGATCTCAGGTGTAATTCTAGCTAGCCTGTTGACAAGCTCTGTGGACACCAACCGGAAGGCCCTGTCGCCAGCGTAACTAGCAGTTTTTTTGGAGAGTGCGCGCGTGAAGGAGCGGGGAATAGAGAAAAGACGCGAGGGAGCTTAAGCAAAGACGTTTTTGAGCTATGAAAGTCAACCGGAACTGGATGTTTTTCCTTGGACAATGGCTTTGCCCAAATTTTCGGGCAAGTCGTGCGAAAGAGTAAAGACTACACCTAGTTATACAACGCTGGTGGTGTCTAGGCGAAAAGGCCTAACTTCCGGTTTGGGTGCGTCGCTCAAAAAAACGTTTGCAGAAGCTCCCCAATCGCGGCTTCTACGCTCGTCCACGCTCGTGCTGCCCCAAGAACTGCCAACTACGCAGGCTATATTGCCCGTCTTTCTAATTTAAATATGCCCCTACTATGAGCTAAGTTGCAAAATATAAAATACAAATTGCTTCTTTATACCAAGTCTAACGTTATTTTTATCGTTGATAGGTGGACTCATCTGCTTTACCCTTCGGTTCAGTGAGGTAGATGACTACCAACCGAAGATGACGGAGCTAGAGGAAGCTAGAATATGGGAAAAACTCTGCCACAAGAAGATCCCTCATTTTGACAAACCTGACATGCCCAGTCACCTCTTCGGCTTCGTGTATAAAGTTTTAAAGAAATGAACTTTAAATAGATTAAGTATAATCAACTGAGTTGATACTGAGCTTTAACAATTAAGGTTTTATTTAAGGGCTACTAGCGTGAGTAATCACAAAATTCTAAAGTTGTTCCTCTTACGCCACGTTGCTTCGGCACAGATTACATTATCCTTCCTTGGCACAACGTAACTCATGTACATTGACTTGTGTGACTTCTCAATTATCACAGCAGCTGTGGCTATAATTCCGAAATAAATGAAGAGGTATGGAAAATCTCTGAATTGAAGTTTTAAGGTGGCACCGCATAGTTGGCCACTTACGAGAGGTGGTCGCACAGGGAGGTTCGACTTTATTATAAATACCCTATAGTATTGCATAGGGCTGCAAAAGGAACAATGGAAAGTCGTTTTGCACTACCACTCCGCAGTTTTTCAATCGAATATGCCCGAGAAAAGAAAATAGCCAGGCCTGTTTCAAAACGCTTGAAAGCCTTGCTTACGACTTCTACGATGGTTCATTTAAGACAGGCTGCGTCTTTCTGGTTCAATCTTTCACGTTTTATCAGGAGCTCATGGTTTCAGGTTCTGAACATCCTCATCCGCCGAGGGGAGGTACTCAACAAAAGTTTTTTACAGCTCCGGGATCCCCGAGGTCCATGCCCTTACCTATTTATACACCATTTTCTTACAGAAATTGTCATATGCAATCGTCTCCCATACTTTCAGTCCATTGAAATGTGGTACCTCCTTTACATACCTACTAATTGGAAGTCTCCTTATCGACACTTTCTCCCATGGGGAGCTACTCAAAGAATTTTATACTGGGAGGCTCCGCCCCTGAGGTCTAACCCTTTATTGAATTTTTATACTATACCATTTGTGACAAGAAAAGGTCCCCTTTCTTAGCGCTCTCTTAAAATATGCTACTTTATTCCTGCCCTATCGTAGTCTCCTCCCAGCCGTTTTTGGATGGACATCCAAAAACGGCTTCGAGGGAGACTAGGGCTATCGTAACGAAATCGAAAAATTTAAGTGTTTATTAACGCTGTTTCTGTTTCATTTTTGAAAACGATACTTCCTTCACACAACTTCCTTCACACACTTACTCTTGGTTTGAGGTCTTCTTGTCAAGTAAAAAGAATAAAAATGATACAGCCATAATGTGCACCTCTGAAAATATTAGTCATAGGTCTTTAAAAAAAACCTAGACGACGAAGTTCTCTGCCCGTCATATACTGTGGGATCCGTATACTGACCTTCCTGGGTTGAACCTCCGAGTATAAAATAGAGCACCCCCCCCCCCTCACAGCCAGCCGAAATATTGAAAAAAAAAAAGGAAAAACAATATAAAAAACAATTATAGTTAAACCAGGAGCTGATGATTAAACTTCTCGATTTTGCTGATCAGAACGTTTTCGATTAGGTGCCCCTGAACAGCGAGATGTAAAGCGAAACGAGTCAGCATCATAAAATATACCGGGGTTCCCTATTTTAAACCGGGTAGAGATGAAAGTCAGGGTTTGAAGACCTCGGTTGCGCATCGCTATCTCTCTTCCCCCCTCTCCCCTGGGGGGTTAGGGTTGGAATAGCTGTCGACCTAACAACTGCTAGCCAACAGTAACTTGAAGTGTCTCAATATTGTTTTCAAGTTCTTTTCATACTGGCACGCTGACACTTTCGAGAAAGTAAATCACCAAGCTGTCAGCAGTGAACCTAAATTAAATTATATTTCAAAATTGCACAGCATAATGCATGCAGCAGACATCATTTCATTCAGTAAATGCACTATGGACTTTGTGTTCGGGGTTGTCACGAAATCGCCTTGCGCGTGTCATTTACCAACAAAAATCACGCAATATCTAGTCACGCTTTGATTGAGAATTCATTTTTTTGTCGATTTCGGAATTGCATTTTAATGTCTTTGGTGTATTAGAAACAAAATACTTATTTCACATTTGTGTCGTAGCGCTGCGCTCTTTTTTTTATTGGGATACTCAACAGTAGCATCTGTGGAGGAGAGAGTTTCTTGCGAATGAAAAATTTCGACCGTGAAAATGTGTAGGATTTGATTCCGTTTTGTTCGTTATTGTTTTCCTTTTCCGCCCTCCGCTAGGGACGAAACGTCCATAGCGGCGCGGCTTGACAGAAATTTGTTTATGATTTTGTATTATTTTATGTTGCCTCTATCACCCCTCCCTCTAAGCACCAGAAAGACCACACGTGCAAATAAAAACAGCACGTTTACGGAATCGGCGATTATATATTCAGAGAGCACCAGATCCGAAAAACAATTACATACTCGCCGATCGAGATAGGCTGAAATCGTCCAGAAAAGCGGGGAAACGTCGATTAAACTAGAGGATACATCAGTGCAAGACAGTAAGTTTAATTATATACTCTGAAGTGTTAGCTTTGACGTTTTTCATGAATATTAAAGCTTTATTCTCGTCGTTTTGATACAATAATATTCAAACCTGTTATGTTGTAGCACAGTTGTAGGCCCAAATTTAATTTTTTTTTTCTCCGAATTTCAATATCTCGGAGAAATGTGAAGTGTAGAATCAAGTCAAAAAGCCTAAAAGTGCTCAGTAGCTTGAAAACTAGAGTTTAGTCCTTTCCGATTCTTGTGTACTGTACAAAACATAACTTCCTCAGGCCTCTAGCGATTATTTTTCGTGATTAATTTACAGTCGTAACTTACTGTGTACCGGTTAATAGATTTATCGTAAGCCAAGTACAAATAACTATTCAAATTTGGGTAGAAAAAAAAATTGTTTTCTGCGATGTGCTTTGCACCTGAAAGGACCTTGGAGCTTGCCAAGCGGAAAATTACTTGAATTGCACGTGCTGTGATTTTACTTCATTCTTGTAATTTTACGACAGTAGAATTCTATGTTTATGTAATCCCTTTCACTTTCATGTGATATTATATACATAAGAATTCAATCTCTGTCTGTGCCAATCTGCAAGGTTTAGCTGCGGTCTCTACGTAAGGTATTTATAATCTTAACATTGCTGGTTTGTCTACTTTTTTTTGCTATGCAAATCACGTTTTGATGACAACCGAGTGGTTTAGAGACAAACACATTTTGAAGTCTTTGGATGGGGTTTAATTGAAAGCTGAGAATTAACCAAAATTTTATTTGTCCTCCCAGGGATTCTTTTTCTTCTTTCGTGGTTGTTTTTGCTGTTTTCTTGGGTTTTATTTTTTCTTAGATCTAAAAACATAGCTGACGGTTGACACCCGGGAGTTCGAAGCGTAGTTACTAAAACCCGGAACGACCCACAACGATCCACAACGATCCACAACGACCCACAACGATCCCACAACGACCCACAACGATCCACAACGATCCCACAACGACCGAGGACGATCTCAAAACGACCCACAACGATCCCACAACGAAAGAAACCACCCAAGAAAAAAATATCAAAAACTTAACTTTTGAATTTTTTCCAAAAATTGAAAAGCATACTGAATAGCAAACATAATGACTCACAACTACCCAGAATACCTTTGATAGTCCGGTAACACATTCATAGGGTTGGTAAAAACAGGAGAAAATAAATGGGCAAATGCAGCTTTTCACGAGAAAGAATCTCCATTCAGAGACACATTTGTATGTCCGATCGATGTCTCTTCAGCCGACCATCGAATAAAGATATGCATAAGACACATGAAAAGTTTCATCAGCTTTGTTCTCCGTAAACATTTCTGCGCTAGCGAAGCGAACTGGGATTGCAGTGTTATGACAATGACCATCAAGACGGCAGAGATCTCATGTATATATCTACCACGAGTTCCATTGTACGTAATTGCTTCCCTTTACAGGCAGAGACCTCATGTATATTTGAATGGTACGTTGACGTTATTTAAAATAGTGCTGGGCCGATGGGCCAAGGAGCAAAACCACGGCAAAGGCTGGATTTTCAATATTTATTAAAACAACGCAGAAGAACGTAGTAATGTGGTAATCTGAAGCTAAAAATTGCGAAATGATACAAAATTAGAAGGGAATCCTTAGCTAGCGAAAAGACAGTCAAATAAACGAAAACAAATTGCAGAAAACTTACATTTGTCCAGCCTCGTAAAAACACAGAGTTAAGAAACTCGCCAACTTAAAAACATCTTCATAAAATCCTTGTTGAAAAACCTAGTACA